CTCAGGTGAGGATAAAAAAATATATAGAGAGATATATATCCTTGGTTGAGGATTAAAAAAAAAATATGCAGGGGACCTGAATAGACATCTCTTTAAAGAGGACATACATCTCAAAACACCAATCACAAAGAATATATGCACCCTTATGGTCACAGCAGAGTTATTTACAATATCTCCAATCCAGAAACAGCCTAAGTGCCCATCAGTAGATGAGTGGATAAAAAATCTGGAGTAGCCTAGCTGGTGTGGTTCAGTGTATTGGTGTTGTCCCAGTCCCATGGACTGTGAGGTCCCAGTTTGATTCCCTGTCAGGGCACATGCCCAGGTTGAGGGCTTGATCCCCAGTACAGGGCTACAAGCATTCAGGAGATGGCCAATCGATGTTTCTACCTATCTCTCTAAAAAAAGAAAGCTGTGGTACATTTACACAATGTAATACTATGCAGCTGTAAAAAAAGAACTCAGTGCGGCTCAGTGGTTGAGCATCGACCTATGCACCAAGAGGTCACCGGTTCGATTCCTGGTCAGGGCACATTGCCCAGATTGTGGGCCCAATCCCCAGTGGGGGGCATGCAGGAGGTGGCCAGTTGATGTTCTCTTTCATCGATGTTTCTATCTCTCTCTCCCTCTCCCTTCCTCTCTCTCTAAAAAATCAATAAAGAACAACAAAAAAAGGACTTGGTTGCTATATGTCCCCAGGATTGGTAGAGTCGTGCGGGAGGCAACCAGTCAATGTGGTTCTATCATATTGATGTTTCTCTCTCTCTCTCCCTCCCTCCCTCCCTCCCACTCTATCTAATGATAAATGAAAAAATGTCCTCAGGTGAGGAATAATAAAAAAAAAAAAGAAGAAGAAGATCTCTTACCCTTTGAGACAGCATGGATGGACCTAGAGATTATTATGCTAAGCAAAATAAGCCAGTCAGAGAAAGACAAATATCACATGATCTCACTTATATGTGGAATCTAATAAAATAAACTGATGAACAAAATAGGTCCAGAGACATGGATGCATGGAACAGACTAACAGATCTCAGAGGGAAGATGGGGGAGCAGGAAGAAGTTAACCAAAGAATTTACATGCATGTATGCATAGCCCATAGGTACAGACAATAGTGCAGTAAAGGCCTGGGATGGAGCAGGAGTCAGGTGGAGGAGAGTGAAAGGAAGGGGGGGAAATGGGGGACATCTGTAATACTCTCAACAATAAAAATAAAATTTAAAAAAAAAAGAGCACACACAAATGGTCAACAGACATGAAAACAAGCTCAATGCCACTAATCATCAGGGGAATGCAAATCAAAATCAGAATGATGCCCTGGCTGATGTTGCAAAGTGGTTAGAGCATTGGCCTGCACACAGAAGGGGCGGGGGTTTGACTGATGTTCAAGGGCACTTACATGGGTTGCAGTTTTGATCCCTGGTTCCAGTCAGGGTACATGCTGGAAGCAACCAATTAATGTGTCTCTCTCACATCAATGTGTCTGTCTGTCTCTCTCTCTCTCTCTCTCTCTCTAACTTTGTCTCCCACCTCTTCCTTCCCTTCCACTGTCGATGGAAAAGCCCTGGCCGTTTTGATTCAGTGGTTGGAGCGTTGGCCCATGAACCAGAGATGCCCGGGTTGGGTTTCTGCTAAGGGTACATACCTCAGTTGCAGTTTGTCCCGGGCCCCAGTTGGGGTCATGTGGGTGGCAACGGGTCAATGTGTCTTTCTCACATCAATGATTCTCTCTCTCTTCCTCCCTCTTTCCCTCCACTCTATCTGAAGATAAATGAAAAAAAAAAAAAGTCAATGGAAAAATATCCTCAAGTGAGGATTAAAAAAAACCCACAATGAGATACCACCTCACTCTTGTCAGAATGACTATCATCAAAAAGTCAACAAACATGGTGAGGATATGGAGAAAAGGGAACCCCCATACACTTTTGGTGGCACTGTACAGCCAATACGGAAAATGGTATGTAGGTTCTTCAAAAAATTAAAAATAGGATTATCTTATGACTACATCTGGGTATGTATCTGAAGAAAACAAAAACACAAATTTGTAAAGATATATGCACCGGTATGCTCAGTGCAGCTTTATTTACAATAGCCAAGATATGGAAGCAATCTAGGTGTTAATTGATAGAAAAATGGATAAAGAAGATGTTATTTTTAAAAATATTATTCAGCAATAAAAGAGAATGAAATCTTGACATTTGTGACAACATGAATGGACCTAGAGGATATTATTCTAAGTGAAGTAAGTCAGAGAAAGGTAAATACTGTATAATCTCACTTATGTGTGGAATCTAAAAAAAAACAAAACATATGAATAAACAACAGAATACAGACCATAAAAATAAAGAACAAGCTGATGGTCTAATGGTGCCAAAGTGAAAAGAGGTAGGGGGATGGATTTTTTAAAAAAGGTGTATATATATCCCTAAAACAAGAAAAAAAAAGTAAATACAGTCAAGCTGCTAAATTACTAAAATCAAGTAGATTGAGACATGAGCAAACAATTCTGTTCTTTCAACCACTCTGGGAACTTGACCTTTTGAACTTTCCAGTCCTGTGTCATTGCCTGGATACATATCAGTTTCTTGTGTATCATTACCTGGACATACACTAAACCTCCAAATACCCCTCTTACTACCCTCTGAAGGACTCAGTATCCAGACCACCTGATATCCATTACCTAGATCACCTGACATGACCAGACCTCCTGCCACTGGCACCCTCCTCTAGACTACCTGGTGCCCATCATCCAGACCATCTGACTGACAACTGTTCTGGACCAATCTTATCAAGTCTTTGACTCTTCAAGATCCCATTGGCCATCGCCTGACCTGCTCCATATCAGCAGGTCTTCACTTCTAACTCCAGGGTTCTAAGCCAGACACCAAGCCTTTATCCCAGAAACTGTAACACTCTGGACCGCTACTCAGAACACCAAGTCTTTACCACAGAAACCAGAGCCCTGGCTTGGTCATTGTGCCTTTACTTCTCAATATTCAGCTATTCGAATTTCTCTCCTCTCCCACTTCCCGAGGGCTCCCATTTCCGCCCCAGGCTGGGAACGCCAGGCCCTTAACCTTCACAGCAGTCCTTTACTCAGGCCACCTGAGCTCCGGGACCAGACGTTTACTCGTGGCCAGTAAGGTCCGGACGTCACCACACGGCCTCCAGCCCGGTAGATTCCTCCCACCCCTAAGCCGACGTAGCTTTGACCTAGATACCCTGAAGCATCCAGGCTCTATGTCCCTACGCAGGCTACCCCCAGTTCCGCAACGAACTCACAAAGACAAGGTCGGGCCGCTCCTGCCGCGAGAATCGCGCCATTACCACCATTTTCTAAACTCTCCAGTTACAGGCAGAGGTCGCGTTATAATGACGTCTCCTTCTGAAGGCCCGCTCCCCGAACCAAACTCATTTCCTATTGGCTGACCCCTTTCCGCGAGTGCGGTTCGGACGCGACTATCCTTTAGGCTTCTCCAATGACCAGAAGCAGAGAGTAGGAGCCCGAAAGAGATGTAATCCTGGAGCTCCTCGGCCAATCAGCTTCAGTGGTCGAGTTCGTGGATTCCTAATAAGCTACTGTCTTTTTGGAGGGTTGACTTTGGATCGAAGCGACTTTGTTGTAGCCTCAGGGAAGCGAAATGGGGGTGAAGTTGGAGGTGTTTCGGGTCAGTGGGCACCGGAGCCTGTGGGCGGGGGCGTCTTCCTGGACCTGAGGAGGAGGCCCTGAAAAGGAGAGATTCCAAGAGAGGGCGCTCTGGGGAGAAAGATCCTGAGATTTGAGAAGGCCCTTTAGTGTTGGAAACCTAGAGAAGGGGACGCTGGATTAGGGTGGTTCTAGTAGGGAGGGTGTGAGAAAGGGCCTCCGAGAGGGGTGATAAGAGGAGGGGGCTCTAGAAATAGGGCTCCAGACTTAGAGGAAACTCTTGGGCTCAGGATAGATGGGTGGGCGTGTGTCTCAGATAGGGAGACTGCTAGACTAGGGGAGTAGACTCTGAAGAATGAGGGGTTTGGAGTGCTCCTGGGATCTGACTTTGGGGACGGGGACAATGAGGTAGACTCTCTTGTGCTCCCGGGGCCAGGGTATGTGTGTGTCCTTTGAGATGGAGTCCCCCAGACTCCGTGGGAGCTTTCAGAAACAAGGTCTCTTGGATTATGGGGACCAGACTCCCACAATCCTGGAGTACTTGGGGGGGCCAGGCGTTGCTCGGCTGTGCTACAGGATGGTCTTCCAGGCTCTGAGCAACCTGCTCATCACCTCCCCTTCCAGATGACACTCTACCTCACCTTCCCTGTGGCTATGTTCTGGATTGCCAACCAGGCTGAGTGGTTTGAGGACTGCGTCATACAGCGAAAGGTGGGCACTGGGAGACTGTTCATGGGTTCATTGCTGGAGGTGAGGGAGGGCATGGGTCACCAATGTCTGCCTTCCATGAGCTGACTTGTCCTAGGTGTGGGGATCTGGAGGCTCCTGGCTCATCTGTGACTTTTTCCCCACAGAGGGAGCTGTGGCCACCTGAGAAGGAGGACCAGGTAAAGTGACTTAGTCTTCCTTAAACTAGAGGGACAGAGGGGCCTGAGTCCCTGTGACCATGATGGTTTTGAATGAAAATATTACCCTCAGTCGTGAGCAGGGAACTGAGAGTACAGGGTCATGTGGTTTCCTTATTGTCCTCTCCCCAAACGATGAAGCTGATCCTTCTTGGACTCTGCTTATAATTGACACAGGGCTTCCAGTGTAGACACTGAATTCTAAAGCCGAGCCCTGGGGTAATAGGAGGCAAGGGTGGTGGGAGAGTGGTCTAGGCTCTGAGGTATGTCCCACTTCTTCCCCACCATTAGCTCCAAGAGCTAGAAGAATTCAAAGAAAGGATACGGAAGCAGCGGGAGGAAAAGCTCCTTCGCACTGCCCAGCAGAGCTCCTGAGACCCCCAAGTGCCTGAGTCCCACCCATGAAACAATACACACTCAGTTCTTTGTTTCTCATGGAAGTGTTTTATTGTCTACTTTTGGGAGGCACAAGTGGGGCACAAGATGGTTCATGGGGCTTGTGTCTGGGGCTGGGGACTGCTGTTCTGATGGAAGCTGAGAGCAGACAGGTCCTGAGGGGTGAGGAGGGGTTGGGGGCTGAGGGTCCCAGCTCGTTTCTTAACTTCATACTGTGGATGAAAAGAGATCAACCAGAGGGAGGAACCAAGGGCAACACCGGCCAGAGGTGACACAAACATCGGAAGAAGGGTGCAGGTGGGAACAATTGTTCCACCTCCCACCATCTGCCCCCACCCTCCTGGAACTTCTACACACCTTAGTTACTTAACACTTAGGGTAGTATTTGGGTGTGAGGTGAGGGGTCTTGGGGATCCCACTGGGGTCTTGATCAGAACCCAAGCTGTGCATGATTACATATAACATAGACACATATCGGTGTATGAGCTCTTGTGCCCTCCTCCCTGAGGATGTTTTCCCAGGAGAAGGATTTATTCTCTCAACCCTCCTGGAAGCCCTCAGTCATGGCAATAGGAGCCATGAGTTCCAGCCATGGCTCTGACATTAATGTGCCCTATGCATGACCTTGGGGCCCTCTTGGCCTTATCTGGGCCATCATTTTCCTGTCTAAAGTCAGGTATTGGATTGGCCAGGGCCTTGTGACTGGCAGGGACACAGGGCAGGCATTTCTACCAGGCAGTCATCCCCAGGAGGCAAATGATAGGTGGGGGTGGGACCCCATTCACTCCCGACTTTGGGTGGGAGGTGGGGTTAGGGGGCTCAGCATGGCTGTTCCCCCTAAGTCCCAGCAGAGCATCACCTACCTTGGGGCCCACAGACTGGAAGCCAGGCAGGACGCTAACTGTTACACGCTGGTCATCCATGCGGTGACCCTGGGTGCTGGCCAGCATGTCTATGAGACTGTCCATAGGGTCACTCTCTGTGTGAAACAGAAGCAGGTGAGGATGAACACATACACAGATTCCAGGGAACACAGCCTAGCTGGAGTCTCCATCCCACCCCTTTCCCCTACTCCTGTTCTCCAGGAAGCACACTCATCTCTCCCCTGCTATCCCTTGCCCCTAGACCCACAAGCATGTGTGTCCCCAGTTGCCTGCTCACTCTCTTAGGCAGACTCTTGCCTACAGGGCCCCCAACTTGTCCTATACCCGTACGACCTGCCCCACGTACACTGCCAGACAGTACACCCACCCTACACACCCCACTGCCCAGTCTCACGGCTCTTGGAGGTGGTGCCTGGCCCTGCCTGCAGTGAGCAGCGCTGCTCCTCCATTCGGTCACCCTGCACATGGCTCAGCAGGTTGAAGAAGTCCTCTTGGTCTGGACAGCCTGCCTGGAGACAGACACACCTGGTCCAACTGGTCCCTCAAATGAGGGACCCCTCACTAGCTTCCACCCTGACCCAGGGGTCTGCCCTCCGCTCCTTGGCTCTCACCATGGTCCTCGTCGATGCACTGCTCTGCAGAGCTGCTGTGAGTGAGACAAGACTCTCCTTCCCAATCCCAGCCCCCAGGGTCCAGCCATCAGTGCCACTGCACGTGGTGCTGCCTCAAGGGAGAGGCTGTTAGTCCTAAATTGGAGCCTGACTACAGGACACCAACCAGGAAAACATCCCAGGGGCTGACCCCAAATCTCAGCATCCCCCCAGCTCCCTGGACCATAATTGAGAGCACTGACCTCCAGGACCCTGGGGCTGTGTTAGGCACTCAGACCCTCATGCCCACCAGCACCTCCTTGGGCAGCAAACTGGGTCAGGGATCCCAAGAGACTGAATCACTAATTAGATGCCCTACAAACTAGTTAGTCTTGTCATTCACCGCTCTTGAGAAGTTGGGGGTATGTGGAGATGGAACCTGCTTACCTTGACATAGGGAGCTAAACCCCCATTTACCTTCTCTTCCTGCTCCATCTTTGTTCCTGCTTCCTGGGCCCTATCCACTTCTCTGCTGGCCTCTGGCCCAGCCCCATGCCAGAGAAGGCTTTTTAAAACAGACGTGGGGTCAGAGGATACCCAGCCTCAAATCCCTGGCTCACACCCCATCTGCTCCCACACAAGCTTAAGCTCCATAAAGATGATCCAGATAATTGTTTTTGCTGTGCAGTGCTTGGGTTGCTGTGGGGGTAGGAAGCCAGGTGACCTGGGTTGGGACCTTGCTGACCTAGCATAACTCACTATGCCCCAAGAACTCTCAGGTGGGGTGCAGCAACAGGCCAAAGCAATGTCCCCACAGTGGGAAGTAGGGGCTGTCTGGGCCCCACTGGGAAAGAACAGGACAACAGGGCAGTTCAGGTGGGGTTTGCAGACCACCAGTGGGAAGCAGTGCAGGTGGTCTCACCCAACCTGAAGGCAGTTGCCATCTGCAGGTAGTAGGGGAAGTTGGACCTGAAGACCCCTGAGGCACCACCAGCCAGCCTAATTCCATCTGTCTCAGAATAGCCTCTACCCCTACTCACTGTCCCTGGGTCTGATTGCCTCCCATTGGCCCCAAGGCAAGGTTTGGGAACTCCTGTCTCCCTGACACCATTACCAAGTTCAACTGTCTCCTCTGATTTGTACCCCAGCACTGCCAGCAGGAAAGCCCTGCCCCTAATCCCACACATCCCCCAGCCGCTATTGCTCTTAGTGCCCTGGGAGAAGATGTCCCTGGGAGGATTCCACCCACATCCCATCCTCTTCCCAAGATGCCTTTTAGAAACCAGTTAAAGTTTTTTCCTGGAATGAATGGCCACATTGTCACCCCTATCTGAGTGCAAAGCGTGGTCATCCTCCCCGGGCGGCCCTTCCCTATCCACAGTCACACCCTCTCCACGGCCTCAAGTCCTTGATGCCAATGCAATGTCCTGTTCCACCAAGGAGGTATTAATTTCCTAGGGCTGCCTTAGTGTCTCGCACACTGAGTAGCTTAGAACAACAGACATTTATTGTCACATAATTCTGGAGGCCCAAAGTCTGAAATTGTGTTGGTAGGGCCATGCTCTTGAAGCCTATAGGGGAGGATCCTTCCTTGCCTTTCCTGGCTTCTAGTGGTTGCTGGCAGACTGTGGTGTTCCTTGGCTTGTAGCTAATGCACTCCAATCTCAGTCTCTGTGATCATATGACATTTCCTATGTGTCCTTGTCTTCACATGGCTATCATAAGACATGGACACCAGTCATTGTATTAGGGACCCACCCTACTGCAGTATGATCTTATCTTAACTCATCTGCAATGATCCTATTTCCAAATAAGGTCACCTTCTGAAGTCCTGGGGGTGGACAGGAGTCCAATTCAGCCCATAATAGCTGAAAAGCCTGGTCATCCTCACTGAATATAGTGTTGGGTGGCAGGTCCCACAGACTCTTACCCCCAGGGGACACCCTGTGAAGCTAGAGGTGATCCCAGCTTCCTCTAGGTCTCCCAGCTCCTGCCTTGGCCCCTGCAACTTGTCCTCCCCCACCTCAGAAGTTACAGGGGTCCCCTCCTTTCTATTCTCAGAGCTCTTCCTTGGTTCTCATTGTCCTCAGGAGAAAATTCAAACACCTGTGAGTAATGGGGACATTCTAGAATGGACTGATAATGGCTGCAAGACTCTGAATATGCTAAAAGCTATTGAATTGTACTAATATATGAATTATATCTCTAACACTGTTAAAAGGAAGGAAAGGAGTGAAGGGGAGGGGGAGGAGGGGAGGAAGGAAAGAAAAAAAAAAGAAGGAAGGAAAAAAAAGAAAGAACAAAGAAAGCAAGGAAGGGAAAGGAAAGGTGAAAAAATTCAAATCCCTGTCTGGGGTGGCCAGCCCTCCTGGTTTTCCTGGAACTGTTCCAGTTTTATCTGGGTCCTGCATCCCAGGAACCTCTCAATCCCAGGCAGATCAGGCTGTGTCAGTCCTACCTTGTCCCACAGAAGTCTGGCCTCTGCAGTTCCTTCAACCTCACCTCCTGCCATACGCCCTTCCCCAGCACCACCTGCTTTTCTGTGCCTGGATCACTGCATGGCTGCTGCTTGATGTCATTTAGGGTTAAGTCTAAAGGCCACCCTCTCAAGGGGTCCTATGGTTGCAATTCTGTGAAAGGACCTCATTTCCACCCACAACAGTACCATCCCCAATAAAGCACCCTCAACATGGCATTTGCTACCATATCACTATTTCCTTTAGGGCAGATTGATTCTTTTTTATCACCTCCCTCCCAAACTCAACTATAAGTCCCATGTGGCAGACCTTCTGTTGTCTGTCCTATGTAAATGGCAAAGGGCCTGGTACCTGGTCAACTCTAAACGAAGGAACCAGTTCAGGATTCTGCCTTCACACACGTGCATCCCACTTTAAATCCGAGACCTCATTCATATGGGTGCTGCTGGTCTGTGCCCTGAGACAATATGTCAGCTTTTTGCAGGCACAGAGCAGGAGCAGGCCCTGAAATTTCTAATCAAGTGTGAATTGTGTGTGAGTGTGTCAGCAGTTGAGCATGCTGTTCAACCCACATGTATATCAGTCTACGAATGTGATTGTTGCCTGTGAAGGTGTGTATGCAACCAGTGAGCAAAAGGCTCTAAGGAGCATTCCTCCTAGGACTTTTTTTTTACTTTTTATTTTTAATCCTCACCTGAGGATTTTTTATTGATTTTAGAGAGAAAGGAAGAGAGAGAGCTCACGTGCTTGAGTGTGGCATTGGGGTGGGCCCCTCTAGCAACTTGGTGTGGGTCTGTTTGTGCACATAACACTTCACTCAGTCAGGACCTCACTTCTTTCTGAGAACCCACTGCGGGTAGGGGCGGGGCCAGGCTGACACGCGAGGCCACGCCCTCACCTTGGACAGACCCGGAAGCGGCGGCGGAGCCCCTAGGGGAAGATGGCGCCCTCGGGGCTGAAGGCAGTGGTGGGGGAAAGTGAGTGTCGCCCTGGGCTGGGGTCTTGCGTCCCCTGGGTGGTGGGGGTCAGGGGTGCACAGACTCTGGGACTCCGGCAACAGGAAGTTTGGGGGTTAGGCTGGGCGTCGAACACCTGATCCTTGAGGGGGCGGGCGGGAACTTGGTTCCAGGTGGACATCTTAGCTCTCCCAGGCCGGAGCTGAACAAAGTTGGAAGACTGGACTCCTGGGAACCAAGGGGTGGCGCAGAGCACAGCTGGATACCCAGACTCCCGGGTCTCTGAGCCAGGCAAAGCCCTGGAGGCTGGATTCTTGGGGCCCAATGCTGTGGACTGGGGTCGGGCTGGGTGCTCTTATCAGCGACCCCAGATGCTGTGAGTGTTCAGGGGGTGGGGCCCAGGCCCTTGTTCCGGTCCACGGATGGGGGACGCCTTATGCCTTACGCTTTGAGCCCCATGCAACGTGAGGACCCTTGCGTTCAGGCCTTGTTGATCGGGTTCTCCAGGGAGGGGTGAAGATCGCCCCCTTCCTGAAAATTGGGTAGTTCAGGCCTCAGCTGCTTCTTCCGCCCTGGTCTTGATAACAGTAATGACACTCTGGTGGGGCGGGGCCATCCCTTCTCTTCTCCCTCTTGGCTGGGCAGGGCAGACAAACCCCCAACTGAAAAAGGTGTCTCCTTCATAGTGGTTAACAAGGAGACCGGAAAACCACTGATTTTATTTTACAGATGAGGAAACTGAGGCTGGAGGTTGGGTGACGGAATGATCAGAGCCAGGCACATTTTAAAGCAGGGAACCAGGGAGGGAGGGGTCCTGCATTCTAGTTGGGTGGAAACTGATGGAGGTGGAGCGGGAGCTCTGGCCAAAACCTCCCCACCAGAACTTGAGATAACCAATAGTGAAGGCAGGAAGACGTGTATGCAAGCCCTGACTTTCCAATTATTGTTCATCCAGAGTGTATCCAGGACTACCCATATACCAGATTGTGGGCCACTTAGGCACTCAGGGTGCTTAGTCTAGTCACTTGCCCTCTTTGAACTTCAGCTCCCCTATTTATAACTTGGGAGTGACACTGGGAGCTGTCACAGAGTGGGAGGAAGGGGTAAACAGGAGGAGTTAAGATGGAAGTCCAGTGTGGGATCCAGAAGGTTTAGGGGTGGGGAGGGCAGAGGAGCCAGCATCCTAAGCCCACTCTCCCCTACAGAAATTTTGAGCGGAGTCATTCGGAGCGTCAAAAAGGATGGCGAGTGGAAGGTAGGAGAAAAGCAGAATGCTTTGTCCAAACCCATGTGGGAGCCCTGAACGCAAGACCTTCTCACACTCCCTGAGGAGTCTGGATGGGTCTGGGATGGGATGAGGGTGGGGTTTTGGGTCCTCCCATCTAGCCAGCTATTAAAGTGGACAGTCCTGCTCACCACCCCAGCCCCACCTCTGGGACAGCTTCAGTCTCTCTTGCCCACTTGTCTGTCCATTGGTCCATCTGTCCATCCATCTGGACAGGTGCTCATCATGGACCATACAAGCATGCGCATTTTGTCTTCCTGCTGCAAGATGTCAGACATCCTGGCTGAGGGCATCACCAGTGAGTGGACATCCCCACCCCATGCTCCCCAGATGGGACCCGAGTGTGGGAGCCCATGATGGGCAGACCCCCACATAGGACTCATGGCTGTGGTCCCTGAGGGGCAGCCTCCCCAACAGTGCAACCCCTGTGTGTGGAACCCTGTGTAGAACCCTCAGGGTAAACTCAGTGTAGGACCCCCAGAATGCATAGCCCCTGGGGTGTGACTGTGTGACCTAGAATGTGCAGAACACTGCCAATGTCTAACACTTGCCATGTGACCCAGTCTCAGTGCTACCATGTGTCCCTTCCTCTGTTCCTACTAGTTGTTGAGGACATCAACAAGCGGAGGGAGCCCATCCCTAGCCTGGAGGCCATTTATTTGTTAAGCCCCACGGAGAAGGTACCTATGTGAGCAAGTGTGTGAGTGTGCATGAGTACATGCCTCTGCATGTCTGCATGTGTATGGGGGCACAGACAGTGGCTGAGGGGCTGGGGCAGAGGATGGATGGGTCAGGGGGTGCAGGGACATGCCTAGAGAGTGATCCACATTCCCCAGTCTGTGCAGGCCCTGATTGCAGACTTCCGGGGGACCCCGACCTTTACCTATAAAGCAGCACACGTCTTCTTCACAGACAGTGAGTGAGGATAACCTGAGGAGAGTGGAGGAGTAGGGGTTGAGGCTGGGGGTGTGGGGGTGGCTCTGCTCTAATGTCCCCTCTTGCCCACCCTAGCCTGCCCTGAGCCTCTGTTCAGTGAGCTGGGCCGCTCCCGTCTGGCAAAGGTGGTGAAGACGCTGAAAGAGATCCATCTTGCCTTCCTCCCCTATGAGGCCCAGGTATAGCCCAGCCTAGTCCTGGGCAGGTTGTGGGGGCTCTGTGACCAAACAATCCAGGTTTCCTCAGAAACAACCTCTGAGACAAGTAAAGGGGACAATGTATCAGAAAGGAAAGGAACCAACATGGAATGAATGAGCTCTTAGCACTGTGGGCACTGGGGCTGCGTCCCACTGGGGAACTACAAGGGGCAGCATAGAGCAGCCTCTGAGGTGTCCTGCCTGAAGGTGGGGGAACTAGGGTATTTCTCCACCTCCTCTTCCAGACATGGGTTGAAGGTGCCTCATCTGCCTTCTGAATGGAAAAGTGGGCTCCAGGGTAGGCCCAAGGGAGCAGTAGGTGCTGGTGGCTGGTGTTGAGCAGATGCACACCTATAGTGGAGATGCTGGCACTTGTGTCCTTGCAGGTGTTCTCCCTGGATGCCCCTCACAGTACCTACAACCTCTACTGCCCCTTCCGGGCAGGTGAGCGGGCACGGCAGCTTGAGGCACTGGCCCAGCAGATCGCCACACTTTGCGCCACACTGCAGGAGTACCCAGCCATCCGCTACCACAAGTGGGGACTTCACCTTGATGCTGCCCCCTTACCTTGACCCCATCCTTCATCCCACCTTTTACTTCTTTTAGGACCCTAGCCCTGGCCCTCATCCTGTTACCTGACTGCTATCTCTAATCCCATCCTTGAACCCCAGTCTGTGCTTGGCCCTCCCCAACCCTGTACCCTGAAGCTCCATGTCTGCCCTTCCTACCCCAGGGGCCCAGAGGATACAGCCCAGCTGGCCCATACAGTCCTGGCCAAGCTGAATGCCTTCAAGGCAGACACTCCCAGTCTGGGTGAGGTAAGGGAGTGTGTTGGGGAGGTGGGACGAGGTCCCAGCCAGGGTCAGGGTTAATGTCCTCATCCCTGCTCACCCCTCACCACCTCCAGGGCCCTGAGAAAACCCGATCACAGCTGCTGATTATGGATCGGGCAGCCGACCCCGTGTCCCCACTGCTGCATGAGCTCACGTTCCAGGCCATGGCCTATGACCTGCTGGACATTGAACAGGACACGTACAGGTAGGTGGAGCCTGGAAACCCCTTCCCCCATCACAACTGACCTGGGTCCCTGACCCTCAGCTAGTACCCCTGACCTTCATGTCTCCCCCCTCCTGCAGGTATGAGACCACTGGGCTGAGTGAGGCCTGTGAGAAGGCTGTGCTGCTGGATGAGGATGATGACTTGTGGGTAGAGCTTCGGCACATGCACATCGCAGATGTATCCAAGTACGTGCGTGTTGGGGGAGACGCAGCGGGGGTGTGCATACTTCTGCACAGTGGTCCCACCTGTATCCCTATCACCAACATTACCACCCTTTCCCCATTGTGAGCCTGGTACAGGGCTTTCTACCTTTGATGAGCACACCCCCTTCTACAAGCCACACCCCTCAGCCAGCTCTCCAGTGTGTCCCCATTGTGGGCTTGCACATGGCTTGATGCAGGGACATGCTTCCCCTGGCTCCCATGCCACCCCCAAGCCATACAACCCCCACACTGCCCTCAAACTTCATTCTTGGCACCTGCCCCCAACCTCACCCCTACCCACCCTTATGGCCAGGAAGGTCACGGAGCTTCTGAAGACATTCTGTGAGAGCAAGAGACTGACTACGGACAAGGTACTAGGCAGCCTGCATCAGGATGGGTGGCTTGAGAGGAAAGCCCCCTTCCTCACAGAGTGGGGGTGGAGCCTCAGTCTGAATCCCAAGCCTGGAGTGGGGATTTCACCCCTACCCTGTCCTTAGGCCAACATCAAAGACCTGTCCCACATCCTGAAAAAGATGCCACAGTACCAGAAGGAGCTGAACAAGGTGAGCACAGACCAGGAACCTGCTGCCCCCCAATACCTGACACCCTATCTCCCCTTGAGTCAGTCTTTGTTACCCCTGACTCCCACCCCTACCCTGCAGTATTCTACGCACCTGCATTTAGCTGACGACTGCATGAAGCGCTTCAAGGGGTCCGTGGAGAAGCTGTGCAGTGTGGAGCAGGTGGGAGTAGCTGAGGGGACTGGCAGGACAGGGTGTGGCCTGTGTGAAGGGAGGGGCTTGTTGGTAGACAGTGGTAGAACCCTCAGAGATCAGGTACTAGGATGAAGCGGGCCCCAAAGGTCTTACAAGGACTCTGGGGATGTTCCTGCCCTGCCTCTCCCAGGTGGCTGACAGGATAGCTGACCTTCAATCCCCACAGGACTTGGCCATGGGCTCCGACGCAGAGGGTGAGAAGATAAAGGATGCCATGAAGCTGATAGTGCCAGTGCTGCTGGATGCAGCAGTACCTGCCTATGACAAGATCCGGGTCTTACTGCTCTACATTCTTCTACGGAATGGTAGGTCAGGGGAAATGAGGTCTTGGGATACTGTGATTCATCAGGATCTCCAGTGATCCTGGGAATCTCTCAACGCCACAGGTCCCCTGTCCTTAAGATGTCCCCACTGACCAGGCACACCAAACCTCACAGATACCCCTTTGGATCCTGAAACTCACTCCCCTCTATTGACCTGGGGAACCCCTCATTGACACGAAAGCTCTATTAACATGGAAAACCCCCAAAATCTAATACTTCAAACTTGGCCCCTCAACTAATTCCAGCAGACCCTAGTCTACCCACTCAAGACTTCATCCCCACCCAGAATTCTAACATCAAGACTCTCCCTTGCACCAGCCCTGGTGGCTTCCTTGGGCCTGAGGACCTCCCCACTTCGGGTCCTGGGATCTCCTCACACCACCCCTAACCCAGGAAGCCAATGGCCACCTTTCGTCCCCCAGCCCTCCCAGAGCCTACCCACCATGAGAATCTCACCCATGTAAGCTCTCCCTTCCCCCTCTGCCAGGTGTAAGTGAGGAGAACCTGGCCAAGCTGATCCAGCACGCCAATGTGCAGGCCCACAGCAGCCTCATCCGGAATCTGGAGCAATTGGGGGCCACTGTCACCAACCTTGGGGTATGCTGGGGTCAGAGTCTGGGTGGAACGCAAATGTAGGCTTGTGAGGGGGCAGTGCCTATGGAGAGGGCATTGAATCAGGGCCTAGGCCCTGAGAGGTGGAGGGCACATCACAAGGCTGGGGTCCACAGGGTATAGTGTGGTTTTGTTGGGGGTCAGAGAATAGTGTGCAGTGATTGGTCTGGGGACCAGGGAGCACCAGAACTATCCCCAACTCTTGGTCACACATCAAGCAGGGAGTGAGATGTAGTCAGAGCCCAGGTCCTGGTGGTGGTATAGCATGGGATATGTGGTCTGAGTCCCCTGGGGTAGATAGCATGTTGCTAGCACTGGGGTGAGAACCTACAGTTGACCCTGGGCTCCTGGACATCTCAGAGTACCCTTCTACACACAGCGCATGTGCGTGTGTGTGTACACACACACACACCCGCCCCCTCCCCCGCCCCCCGGCTTCCTCTGTTCAGCTTTGTACTTAGCCTCTCCCATCTCTCTCTGGCCCTACACATCCTACACACCCCTGGATGGTGCCTCTCTCATATTTCCCATTTCTCTCCTGGTCCCTTATCTCCATTTCCCACCTCTCATTCCCCTGTTTCTCTATGTCCTCCCATCTCTGTCCCCATTTTTTTCTTTGTCCTCCTCTTTCTTTTTGATCCCTCTTTTTGTCTCATTGCTTCTGCATTTCTTCCTCTCTCTCTGAATCTCTCATTCTCTCTCTCTCTAGATCTCTGTTCCATACTTCCATCTTTTTCTGCAACTCCTCAAGCAGTAGGAGCCCTTAGCCCCATCTATGACCTGCCTCCTCCTCAATTCCCCCACCAGCCTGCCATATTCTGCTTGTAGGGCCCTGGGACCTCCAGCCGGCTGGAGCGGAGAGAGCGCTTGGAGCCCACCTATCAGCTGTCCCGCTGGACCCCAGTCATCAAGGATGTGATGGAGGTACTACGGGTAGGGTGGGCACTGGGAGGGTAGGGGCTGGGGCCTGACCTCTCCTGCCCCTGCCAAGTCCTGCCCTGATCCAGTCATCGGCTCAGCCCCCTTCATGCTCATGGGGCTAAGCCTCGAGGCTTAATGGAAAATCCCTTATTACATGCATCCTCTAGTATCTAGTCTGCTCTGCCAGGGGGGCATCCCAACCTGCACCCAAGGAATTGGGACAGCAGACAGGCCCTCAAGGGTTGTCCCATTTTCTCTCCACCCACCAGTTCCCTCCTCTGACCTCCTTTCCCCCTCTAGTCTCTTTCCCTGTCCCTGGGAAAGCCCCCCTGTCCCCTTTTGCCTTCCCCCACCAGCCCCTGCTCATCCTAGGCACTAAGAGCAGCAAAAACAAAAAGGACTAGGTTAGGGGCCCAGCTTCCTGGCTTCCTGTGTGCTGTCCCTGAAAATTCCTGGCACTTCCACCTGCTTAGGAGTCCAGTGACCTCGGCTTCTCCAAGGACCATGGATACCTGGATTTCTAGGTCTCTGAGGAGATGGGGGTCTGGACTCCTGAGTCCCAGGGGGCTGGGAGTCCATAATCCTGGGTCCCCAAGGGGCTGAGGGTCCAGACTTCTACCTCCCGAGGAGATAGAGATGCAGATGGTGGCTCCTGTCTACCAGGATCTTGGCTTCTAAAACACCCAGTGAGGGGTATCCAGAGCCTGGGCCCCATCACCTGAAGCTTCTCCCCTAAGCCTTCCTTTCTGGCCCCCAGGATGCTGTCGAGGACCGGCTGGACCGCAAGCTATGGCCTTTTGTGTCTGACCCTACCCCCATGCCAAGCTCCCAGGCTGCAGTCAGGTGAAGCCCTATTGGTGCCCAGGCCTGTGTTAGGTGAGGGGTGTATAAGGGGTTTCCTGCCCAGACTGACCTCTACCCGCCTCTCCCCTCTTCCACCTGCACAGTGCCCGCTTCGGCCACTGGCACAAGAACAAGGCTGGTGTGGAGGCACGTGTGGGGCCCCGGCTCATCATCTACGTTGTGGGTGGGGTGGCCATGTCAGAGATGAGGGCCGCCTATGAAGTGACCAGGGCCACCGAAGGCAAGTGGGAGGTGTTAATTGGTGAGTAGCCAGGACTGGATTCCCTGGGCTGGGGCTGGGAGCTGGACTCCCCCATGCCTGGGTCCCTCAGAGGCTGGGGCTGGACTTCTAGGTGCTTTAGAAGGGTGGGCCTAACAACTATATTCCTGGGTTCTTAACCTGTTAACCAGGGAATTCCTGGGGAATTCCCTTTTCACTGTATGCAACGTTTGACGTATTTATACGTCCTGCTCGGTTAACAGGTTAAAGCCTGGGGCTTCTGCAGGGCTAGCACCTGAGAGCCCTGGATAAGGAGAGGTGATTGGACACCTGGGTTTTATTTATGTTCGTCACCTGGGGTCTGGATCCCTGTCTTTATATGGAGTGCTCAGAGTCAAGGCCTGGTCTCCTAAGGACTCTGACTAGCAATCCCATCTTCCCAACCTTCCCTTCCTGGTCAGGCTCTTCACATATCCTCACTCCAACCCGCTTCCTGGATGACCTCAAGACACTGGACCAGAAGTTAGAGGACATTTCTTTGCCTTGACCCTCCCACCCCACTCCGACTTGCACTCCCCCCTTTCCAGAAAAATAAATGCCTCTCTTCTGTCTGGGGCCAGCACCCACCTTGCTTTCTTTCCCAGGGAACTATAGTGTGCCAGCTTGCCATGGGTCCCTTTCCCTGGTATGTGCCTCTAGCCCCATCACACCCTATTTTCTGCCAGAGGACATCTGATGCCCAAGTGGAGATTAAAAACTTGGGCTCTGGTTTGAGTATTATCTCCAAGACTAGTTGTTAGGTCTTGGCCAATGTGCTGGGTTCCTGGAACTTCCAAAAAATGGGGTTGGTAATAGCCACTGCTTTGCTGAGGAAATAAGAAATGGTGGCAAAAAACTGATGGGTGACAGTTGAGGTTCCTCCATTGTTACTGGAGTTACCTTGACTGCACCAATGGGATTGCTAATAGTATCACTGACAAACAGAATTGGCCCTGTATGCTCTCTTCCAAGCCCTAGGAGCTATCCTGACAGCTGTAGCCCCACAAGGTGGGGGTCTTCTCCAGCTCCTGGGCTTAGACTCTGCATTTGTGTGAGGACTAGCACACAGCAAATCATGCCTGATTCCCACCCCCAGCAAGTTAGAACTCTCCCTGCTCATCCTCCTCCTCACCCCTAGGGTGTTCCCAGGGGCTCCTAACTGCAGAACTTATCAGAGCTTTTACTAGATGTATGAGTTTTCCACATTCCCAGTGACTCAAACAACAGAAATTTATTTTCTCACGATTCTGGAGGCTGAAAGTACAAGATGAAGGTGTCAGCAAGGTTGGCTTCTGAGGCCTCTCTCCTTGGCTCATAGACAGCTGTCTTCTTACTGTGTCCTTACATAGTCTCCCCTCTGTGCATGTCTCTGTCCTAATATTTTTTTTTAAATCCTCACCCAAGGATACTTTTCCATTTATCTTCAGATAAGAGTGGGAGGGAGAGAGAGAGAGAAACATTGATGTGAGAGAGACACATTGGTTGGTTGCCTCCTGCACGACCCTAACCAGGGCTGGGGACCGAACTGCAACTGAGGTATGTGCCCTTTACCGGAATCGAACCCACAACTCTTTGGTCCATAGACTGACATTGTAACTGCTGAGCCAAATCGGCCAGGGCTGTCCTAATCTCTTTTTTCTTTATTGATTTTAGAGAGACAGAAGAAGGGAGAGGGAGAGAGATAGAAACATCGATGAGAGAGAACGTCGATTGACTGCCTCCTTCATGCATCCACTGGGGATCAGGTCCATAACCTGGGCATGAGCCCTGATTGGACATCGAACCAGTGACTTCTTGGTGCATGGGTCGATGCTCAACCATTGAGCCACACCAGCTGGGCTGCCCTAATCTCTTAAAAGGACACTAGCCATTTCAAATTAGGGCCCACCCTAATGACCTCATTTTAACTTGCCTATCTAGAGGTCCTTTCTTTAAACAGTTACATTCTGAGGTACTGAAGGTTAGAACTTCAACATATGAACTTTAGGGGGACACAGTTCAGCCCAGAACACTTGGCTAAAATGAGTGTGAATCCAGTAGCACTAGTAAGACAGATGAGGACACTTGTCTCTGGGGTACAAATGCACAGCCAGGCAGACAGTAGAAGCAGAGGGTCTGTGAGAGGCCAGAGGACACCCTAATCAACCTGATCTAGGGCATTCAGGAAAGGTTTTCTCCAGGAGGTGGAGTTTGAGCTGAGAATGAAGATGAATCAGGGAAGGGAGGAGAGGGCATAGTGGAGGCAAACACAGGACAGTAGAATGAAGCCAGAGGGATGGTACTAAGGGACCACAAAATCTGAGAGCCACACAGGGTCTGGCAAAGAGTGGTGAGAATCCCAGTGCTTGGACAGGAGACCCTGGGTGGGTGGATAAGCTAGGTATAGCCCCCCCCCCCACACACACACACACAGAGTGCTTATTTCCTTCTGATCATCTATTGGAATGTAGCCTATACGAGACTGGGACCAGGAGTATGTGGGCTAAGACAGGACACCCAGGACGCTACCTTCCCGCTGGCTAAGGACTTGGCCCTGATTTTGAGGCCAACTATTCTTTTGAGAATTAATGGAAATCCTGGAAGAATTGCATACAGAGTTCACAGATGGGGCCTTGAAGAAGCACAAAAGTGATTCAGCAATTCTAGGATTTATCTGAGATTTTGACCAGGGCAGAAGATGGGTGTACAAAGTTGTCACCTGGTGGGGGTGTGTGTGTGAGAAAGTGGGTTCATGCAAACCTTGAGATGGCTCTCCTTGGATGCCCAGCTTCCTGAGAGGCTTCGCCAGGAAGCAATTTAACAGGCAGGAGACTGAGTGATGGGGAGACAAACCCATCCCCTGGGGAGGTTTTCCTCCAGGACCTGCTTGTGTAGGTAAGTACTGTGAGCACCAAGGGGCGCTGTGGCTCAACTTTCCAGTTTCTTTGCTCTTTTTCATCTGTAACTAGGGTGACTAATTAGAAATGTCTGATAAGAAGGTCAAGGGTTACTCAGTAGTTAAGCCTCAACAAAACTCTGTTGTATAAGCTACCTTAACCTTTGCCCTTTATATATACCCAGTTGATATGTCTCCAACCTAAGGGTATTTTGATTCTACAAATATTCATGGGCCCTTATGGACCACAGCAGTTAGCAGTATCAGGCTGATATGCCAAGCCCTCCACATGCTCTACCCAGAGTCCCCAAAACTCTCCTATTGAACTGGGCCCTGAGGCTAAGGTGATTAGATTCCATTCTTATGTAGGCCTCTTGGCTAAGGCAACTAAAGAACTCCATTTTTATCATCAATGGACCTTCCTCAATATTTTTCCAGTAATAGGTTAATTGCCCCTAGAAGTAAAGGAATTTTGCCTAAGATTATAGTTGCCCCACGTGTTTGGAGGCATTTGCAGTTTCCAAGTATCGGTATTTGCAGGCACTCAGTGAGCCCAGTGAATAATGCTAATTTTGACTTCTGTAATCGCTGTCACACTCACTATTGTACCGGTCCTCTGAGCGGGGCGGCCAAAAGGAAGATGGGGCTTCTGTCTTGAAAATCGGACAAGCAAGAAGAATCATGGCTGCTGATCTGAGGGGAGACTATGCCCTCCGCAGCCTGCCGGCGAGAATAAAGAACTCCTTTACAATTTGGCTATGCATCTCTGGTTATCTCCCTGACACATTATAACACACTTTATGAGAATAAAATTCAACCCCCCTCTGCATCGTGTGAAGTCCACTCCTCAACTTGGTCAGTCAGCCACAGCTGCTCTAGCAACACTGGCAGTTCCTGCTACAGGGCCTTTGCACCTGTTGTTCTCCTTGCCTGCAAGGCTGTTTTCCCAAATTTTTGCATCCCTCCCTCCTTCCCATCTTAGCTCTAATGTCTCCACTTTTGAGAGGCCTCTGCTTTACTTCCTCAGGGGCAAGTTTTCTTCGAGGTTCTCTTCCCATCCAGTCCCCATTCTGGATGTGACTGGTTGCTTCCTTGTGACCTTATATAGCTTGTGCATTAGAATTCCCCCAATCTCAAACGATGAAGGCGTGTCTTTTAATCTCCACCAACTCTCCACATAAAGATGTTAACAGCCATCAGTTCTCGCCACCTGGACCCATTACCTCTTTTTTTTTTTTTTTAATCTTCACCCTAGGATATTCTTGCATTTATTTTCAGATAGAGCCGGAGGGAGTAAGAGAGAGAAACATCAACTGGTTGCCACCCACACAACCTCAACTGGGGCCAGGAACAAACCAACCGAGGTACATACCCTTAGCGGGAACCCCAACCGGGTTCTCTCTGGTCCACGGGCCAATGCTCTAACTGCTGAACCAAACTGGCCAGGGCTGGACTCATTACCTCTTGAAGATGATTTCCAACCTTACAGTTTTTCTGCTGGAATTAACTGAGGCCCTCTAGAAAGAACTGCCCCTCAGCAACTAGTGGCTTTGTATGGAAAGTAACCCGATACTTTTCTTACTATTTAAGATCCCCAGGAGCCAACTGGACACATGAGCTCATTGTTAGGGTTTAACCTGTGATATGGGCTTGTGAAAGAATTTATAACAGAGCTCAGCCAGTGTGGCTCAGTGGATTGAGTGTTGTCCCCATGGACTGAGAGGTCCCACGTGCCTGGGTTGCTGGCTGGATCCCCAGTGGGGGGCGTACAGGAGGCAGCTGATCAATATTTCTCATGTCAATGTTTCTATCTCTTTCTTCCTTCCTCTCTCTAAAAAAAAAAAAAATCAATAACATTTAAAAAATAGATTCAAAAGATTAAAAAAAGAATTTGTAACAGAGACAAGAGGGAGGAAAAAGAAGGAAGCTTATTACTTTCCCCAAAGTCAGGGAAAGGTCTCAAGCATTGACTGGCAACAAGGGTAGGGAAGAAAGAGTTGCTCTTTTATTGAAAGCTTTATGGAGTAAAGGGTAATTGGGCAGGGAGGAGATAGTGTTGAACAGATGCCTTGAGGAGTTGCAGTTTGTTTTTCAGGAGGCAGTCTGGCAGATGCATTAAGGTGTCCTTATCATATGTTCTCTAGCCTGTAAAATATGCTTTGGGGCAAAGAAAGTTACTGAGAGTGTAAAAACGGGAGTCTCATCTGAAGGGGTTACAAGGAGTTCGGAAAAGGGAGACTTGTTTGAAGGGGAAGGTGGAAGGGAACTTTCTATTCATTAGAGGCTCTTGGGTATGAATCATCCTGGAGTTACTGGAACAAAAGGGAGGAGGGGGATGTGGGAAAGTGCATCCCTTCCTTATCTTTTTACTGTTTGAGTAGAAGAGCAGTTTTAATTTAGAGATGCCAGCAATCTCAGTGTTTAATTACCAGGTGCTTTTCAAAAAATGTTTTTAAAAAGCCTGACCGGTGTGGCTCAGTGGTTGAGCATTGACCCATGCACCAAGAGGTTGCTGGTTCAATTCCTGGTCAGGGCACATGCCCAGGTTGTGGGGGGTGTACAGGAGGCTGCCAATTGATGGTTCTCTCTCACATCGATGTTTTTATCTCTCCCTCTCCCTTCCTCTCCCTCTAAAAAAGATCAATAAAGAAAAAAATTTTTTTTAATTGTTAAAAAATCATAACAAAAAGAAAGGCCTGTTTTCTGTCTTTACACTCATCAGG